GCTAAGAAGAAGGAAGGAAAAGATATCTTATGATATGAAGATATGTTTACATATGACTTAACTATGACTGAATAGAAACTAGGAAGATATGTTAACATGGCATGATGTGATATGGTATACAATGATGGTTTGATGGGCTATGATATGACAGTATGAAATGATATAATGTATGGATATATGATATGATATGAAGATATGCTCTGACTATAAGGCATGATGTGAGATGGTAATATGATGATGGTATGATAGTATAGGATGATATGGTAATATGAAATTATATGATATGCATATTTTGATAATATATAATATGATGATATGACATGATACATGTAATATGATAACATGATGATATCATGATATAATTGAATGATATGATGGCATGGTATAATGGCATGATAATATGACAGGATGGTATATAATATGATGTGACATGATACTGTATTACATGAGCATTTGATTGATGGTGATGATATATGATATGGTGATATATGATATGATGAGGTGACATATATGATGGTATAATATGTGATATATGATATAATGTAATATGATGACAATTTGAAATGATATGGTTATATAATGCCATGATGATATACCTATAATTAAATGATATATATAATAATATAATAAATGATAATTGGTGTGATCCAATATGAAGGCATGATTATATAATTATTGAATGATATACTACAATACAATAGTGTGATGTGATACAATGATACAAAATGAAATTATATGATAGATTGACATATGATACATGATGATATATGATATGATATAATATGATGAGGTGATATATGGGATGATGATACAATATACAATATATGACAATATAATGTGATAGTAGTATATGACAGTATGAAATAGTATAATATATGACATGATATGATTGAATTATATATGATGATATAATAAACATGACAATATGATATGAAACAATGAAGATATTATAAATTATTGAATGATATGCTACAATATGATGGTGTGATATGATACAACAATATAAATGAAATGATATATGATAATGCTATAATATGATACATGATGATATGACATGATATATAATATGATATATAATATAATAATGTGATATGTGATAATATGACAATGGCATAGTACGTGATATTATATGACATCAGCTCCCTATGAATGTCTTTTTTTAGAATTTATTTTATTTTTAACTACAGTTTTTGTGTGTGTCTATCTGAGTTTGTACGTTAGTGCAGTGTCCATAGGGCCAGAAGAGGACATCTGATCCCCTGAAGCTGGAGTTGCAAGCTGTTGAGAGCTACTAGATGTGGGTCCTGGGAGTGGTACCCAGGTCCTCTGCATGACACACTCTTAACTGCTGAGCCATCTTTATGCTTGTGATGGCATAAGCTAGGATCAAATACAGACCACAAGGAAGTGCGAGCAGCGGGAGGAGGAGGAGAGCCCATTGTGGGGATGAAGGAAAAAATGGCTTTCACAGAGAAACTTTAACAAAAATATTTTGTTGTTTGAGACAGGGTTTCATGTAGCCCATAATATATAGTCTAGGCTTGACTTAACCTCCTGATCTTCCTGCCTTTCTCTACTTCACAAATGATGGGACTACGGGTGTACCTCCACAGGCAGTGGGTGTAAAACGTAAGCCAGAGAAGCCAACAGAAGAAGGAGATGTAAGTCAGCCTCGTGGAGGGAAAACTGAGACGGCACACCGAAGCATCACTCTCGCCATTTCCTTGGCTGCACATTTGTATAAAATCATTTTTAGACTTCTTATCACACGTGTGTGTTCATTTAGCACACAAAAAGGAACCAAGTTTTTCTGAAAAACCGTTCACTTTTGGCTAGTGCAGAAAATGAAGTCTTAAAAATAAAGACATATTTAGGCTAGTGTATTTTTTGGTGATTTTTTTAAGCTCAAAGCTCTGCTATCTTGCCATGAAAGAATTGATCTGGCTACACACTAAATATCTCTAAGTTCGAGTTTAGACAGTAAGCACACATGGAGTTCTCCAGCTCTCATTCATCCATCCATCCATTCATTCATCCATCCATTCATCCATTCATCCATTCATTCATTCATCCTTCATTAATTAGTTGGTTTGCAACAGGGGCTCTCTGTGTCTCCTTGAATTTGTAATCTTCCTGGTCACCCTCCCATGTAGCTAGGATTACAGGTGGACCCTGCTCCCATGCCTGACTCTGTCTGCAATTTCTCTGTCCAGCACTCCCTCTAAGTGCTGGGTAGGGCCAAGTGGTATCAGCTCGCATTGCATTTGTGGAGCACTAAAAGAGGAAGAAGAGAGGAAGGGAAAGAAGGAAATAAAATCTAGAATTATAATCTGGAAGAAAGGCTGTGAGCTGTGTGAAAGTTAACACTACTTGCTTTTCCTTTAGATGATTCCTTTTAATGATTGATATAATTCCTAATTTGGTCAAAAAAAACCCTTTTACTACTGTATTATAATTTGGAAAGCAGTATATTATTAAAACTTGGAAATTATGTCAAAGCATCAGCAAATAAAAAGGCTCACTGATCATTCTAGCACTTGGAGTTGTTAGTATTTTACATAAATACCTTTGAACATTGTGCTATGTGTATCTTTTTAAATAAAGATTAGAGAGTCATATACAACTTTATCTTTCACACACTGTGTGCTGGAGTCTCCCCTTCCCTGTGTGTTTCCTCCCTGCAGAGCCTCTCAGGTCTGAACACCTCAGGAGGAGCACAATGACAGTGACGTAAGGTATGGAAAGCAGCTATGGCCCAGAGCACTGGAGCCCAGAAAGGAGCTGAAAGTCTGGACAGGAGGGCTGATGCACAGGACAGTCAGACTTTGAGAGAGAGGAGGTCACAGGGCCAGGGACAGCCAGGCTCAGGAGGTATAGGTGAAGGTCTTCACTCAACAGAGTGACCCAGGATAGAGCCAGAGGCTCAGATCAAAACAAAACCATAAGCACGGTGTGGAAAACATATCACTTACTATACCAGTGACAACATTAAATGCCTAAACATTAACTTAAGAAATACAGATAACTTATTATATTATTAATTATAATACATTAAATGCTTAAGCATTCACTTAAGAAATATGAGAGGACTAGAGGGCCCGAGCACCTGCACACAGACTGAGGAAGAAAATCCCGTCCCCAGCAACAGGTGGACCAGGACCCCAGGCAGGAGGGGAGGAGGGTAAGAGAGCTTCAGTGCTCTGCAATCCAGGGCAGGACTTCAGAGGGGTGCCCAGGCACGAGGGCATGTGTGCCAAAGAAGCAAGCATAGTAGAGATTTTATTTATAATTATTATTCCACATATTTATAAGTAGAATTCTTATTTAAAACTAATTCCCTAGGCAACTATATTACTATTAGCTGTAGTAGTCCTCAATTGATATTCCTAGACTATATCTGATTTCTTATTTCCTTAAAATTGGTGCCACCATTAAGTTTTGTTAATAATATAAAATCTCTTAGGTCAGATTGCAGATTAGATAAAGACTAAAAATACTTTAATGGTCATAATTAGCTAAATCATTGATTGTCTATCACATACTTACTAAGCATATACTAAATGACTAGCAAAGATAATGGTTTCCTGAACTGTGAACTATAAATAATCAAAGAACCTATTAAAGGTTAAAGGTGTAAAAGAGCTGGCCTTGTTCATGGCATATGCTCAATAAACATTAACAGTGGCCAGGACCATGACCATGACAATGAAACTATGGAATCACCAGGAATGGCCACATGCCTCTTGATTTTCCATTATTATTATTATTATTTTTATTATTATTATTATTATTATTATTATTATTATTATTATTATTATTATTATCTGTCCATCCAAGCCTGTATTTGTTCTCTATCCTCCCCTCCATCCATAATTAATCTACACAAAGACTGGGAAGATGGCTTAGTGGGTAAGTGCATATGGTGCAAGCTTGAGAACTGGAATTTGAGTCTCCATGACCCACATAAAGCCAGATTCAGTGGTGTGTATCTGCAATCCCAGCACTGCTACAGTGAATGTAATCCCAGCAGTCCTACAGTGAGATGTAACCTCAGCACTGCTACAGTGAGATATAATCTCAGCACTGTTACAATGAGATATAATCCCAGCACTGCTACAGTGAGATGTAATCCCAGCACTGCTACAGTGAGATGTAATCCCAGCAGTCCTACAGTGAGATGTAATCCCAGCACTCCTGCAGTGAGATGTAATCCCAGCACTGCTACAGTGAGATGTAATCCCAGCACTGCTACAGTGAGATGTAATCCCAGCACTCCTGCAGTGAGATGTAATCCCAGCACTGCTACAGTGAGATGTAACCACAGCACCCCTACAGTGAGATGTAATCCCAGCACTGCTACAGTGAGGTAGGAGGCAGAGAAAGGAGAAGCTATGGGCCTGCATACGGAGAAAACAACAAGGAGACTGTCTCAAATAAAGCTGAAGGCAAGGAATAGCTTTGAGGTTGTCCTCTGACCTTGATATGTGTGCCACACATGCATGTGTCTGCATTCACACACACATAATATGCATAAACACACCTGTTATACACAAAAATTTTATACAATAATTACTACAGAACTACGAACAAGCATAACTTTATACGGAGTGGGCATCTATGAGAACTCTTACACTCCGTTGCCCTTAGTTTAAATCCCTTGCCTCCACTTCAATTATAATCTTGAAGCCTTCAGTGTATAACAGGCTTTTGAGTGATGCAAATTTCACACAAATTAAAGTGCTAAAAAAAAACCTCAAAAATGTCTATTGCCATAAAAAGTTATTAACAACATCAGGCCTTATTAATAAATAAAATGATTCCACAATTTAAAGGAAGATAACTAGTTAAGCCATTCTTACAAAATCTCACTAAACCATATTTGAAGCCTGGCTTATTTCTTTGTAAGGTTCTACACTGGAAAGCTGCTTGTGAAGCTCTTAGCCGCAAGTCCAGTTGCTCCAGGAAATGTGTAACTGAGTCAAACCAAACCCCCGACTTACCCACTTCAGCCAGCGCTCTGATGCAGGACTCCACTGAGGCTTTCTGGGCTGGATTGGGCCAGGTGCAGTTATAAATTCTGAAGGCAGACTGCAGCAGCTGGATAAAGACTGGCTGGTGGGTCTGAAAACGGAAGGAAAGTAGTCACTCTGTGTCACTATGCCATGGACCCTAACATGCCTAAGGAGGGAGCAGAGCTACACCTTATCAGACAGGACCAAAAAGCAAAGTGCCACACAGTGTTGTGTGCTTCGATGCCACTCGTAAGGACCTGACTCCACAAAATGTCTGTATGCCAATAGCATGAGAGGAAACATGCCAGGCACTACAGAAAATCAGTCATTTGTGTTTTCACTAGTGTGTGTGTGTGTGTGTGTGTGTGTGTGTGTGTGTGTGTGTGTGTGCATGCGTGTGTGTAAGCCAGAGGCTGACCTCAGCTATCTTCCTCTGCCATCCATCCTCCACCTTACTTTGGCAAGCAGGGTCTCTCACTGATCCCGAAGTTTTGGCTAGACCTGACAGGCCACTAAGCCGCAGGGTCCACCTGTCTCTGACCCTGCAGGGGCCCACTACCACATTCAGTAGAGAGAAAGCCAAGATCAACATCTTCAAGATGTTATCCCTCACGCCAACAGACACCAAAAGAGACATCAAACCTCAGACATGCAGCAATCCGTGTGTATCTGTGTATCCAACTTATAATTCCTAATAAAATGTAAGTACTGTGTAAAGCGCTGTTGTCTGCACTTAGAGACTAAAGACCAAAAGCTACACAGAACCTTCAATACGAGGTTTGCTGATGTTGTTGCCTGAAGCTGGCACGGTCTGCAGGTGGGAACTCACAGACACATAGGGTTGAACATTTGTGTTCTTCACACAGACAAACTAGATGACATTGAATGCAATTCTGTGGTGTTATGCTAATTGAGAATCATTTTTCTTAGCTATTAATTTTCTTTTGGAACACAATTTTTAGTAAAATACCCTACAAATATGTTGTAATGTCTTTGGCTGTTTCCTCATCTGTGGATATTTAAGGTTGAAAAGTGAAAATATTTTTAAGTATTTATGAAGACTAGAAAATCTTAATATGCCAACTTATAGGATAAATTACTAACATGTGGCAGCTGGTCCAGGTGCCTACCCATCTGAACAATCAGCCATTATTTCAACACTTGGCCCTCCACATACAGATGTGAAATATCTCATAGTGCTTAGAAGAAAATGACTTCATTTTAGGAGGAGGTCTCTCGACGTAAAATGAAGTTGGGGTTTGGGGAGAGATCTGCAAGTGGAGAGGGGGTTGGGAGGACATGGGGGTTTGTCTCTGGTCTTTTAATCTGATTAAATAATGTATAAACTTGGATTGTTTGCTAAAATGTAAATTTCAAAGTGAATCAGAACAGGCAAAATTGCAAAAGCTAAGAAACACTGAAACAAATGAAAACACACAGGAAACATTGGGACCAAAAGAAGAGAGGAGAGCAGAGGGTGTGAGAAAATGTAACAATGCATACACATAAAAACGTCACCATGAAACCCATTCCTCTGTGTTATTATGAATAAGTTAATGCTAAAGTTTGGTCAAGTCAGAAAGGGCATAATGCTAAGTAATACAAGAGACAAGTGATTATCCAGAGTGTCCAAGAGGACATCCGAGCCAGATTACAGCTTCTCTGGCACTGGGCCCAGCTACCTGGAGGCTGGTACTGTTGTCTGAAAAGGGTGAGTTGAAGAAGCCGCTGACGATGTTCATGACTGACTCCGTCACACATCTCTCCAGGAAGGTGTCTGCATGTTTCCTGTCTGTGGTGGTGTTACAGACCTGGAGAGAAAGCAAAACATGTCTCTGCATTATAAGTTGGTAGTGGAACCTTCTAAAAGTTACCCTACAAGATTTCCCCATAGCCACCAATCCTGTGATTTGTAAAGCAGCTTCAGATGGAAAAACTTGTGTCCAAATCCACTAAAACGTCAGTCTGTGGCAGTGACCCCTGCAAGCCTCTCTAGCATTTCAGCCTCCACTGCTCCTTCACTCCTCCAGGCCCTGTGTTAACTTGCTCTTTTGTTTTCGCACGCCAACCTCTCTTGGTCCACAGACTTGATGAAAGCGTCTTCCACTCCCTGGGAAGAAGCCAAAGAGTTAAGAGCCATTGTGAGCACAAAGAAATGTGAAGAGTTCGTGGTGACATGTGTCGATATGCATTTTCCCTTAAAGTACCTGGGCCCAGTGAAGAGGCCACGGGTGCCATCTGAGAGGTTTTGAGATTCGCACATGGAATGTCCTCTATGGGCCCATGGGTTCAAACACTTGTCCCCAGCCAGTGGTGCCATTTTGAATAACGTGTGCCTTTTGTTACTGTCATCTATAAAGTTTATCCTACACATCCCATCCATGCTATCAACTTACAAAAAAAAATCTCATAATGTTTTAAGTAAGCTTATGAATTTTGTGTTCTCAGCTGTCTTCTGTGGATTGTAGCCCAGTGGCCGTGGGTCAGATATGCCTGTGAAGTAGAACCTTGCTGGAGGAAGTGATTCATTCACTGAGATCTGGGCAATGAAGTTAAAAGCCCCACCCACTTCCCGTCTTTTCTCTGCTTCCTGTTTGGTCAAGGTATGAGGGGAGGAGCCCCAACCAACCACACAGGTCTGCCAATTGGTAGTCACCTGTGGTCATCCCTTCACCTCCCCTAGACTGTACCCTCCAACTGTGAGCTGAAGTAAGCTCCCACAAGTGTCTTCTCAGGAGTTTGATCACAGAAATAAGAAAAGCGACTAATTCAGGAGGAAAATGGAAAAAAAAATCTAACTCCTTCCCACACTTACTTATCCACAGGGCCTTCGCAGGGCAGGCTGAGGGCAAGACCAGTCCTGGAGCTGGGGACGAGCCTTATGTCTGACTAAATGAGGCCTTTTGCCAAACTGTATTTCCAAAAGTCAGGCAGACACATTGCGAAAGCTGAAGAGTCGTGATTGAAAACACACAGGAAAGATGGACACAAGAAGAAGAGAGGGGGAGAGGAGGGTGTGAGGAAAGACTGGAAACCGAGGCAGACAAAGAAAACAAATGTGGACAAAGGGGAAAGACCGGGGATGGCAGCCATGTGCTCCAGATGTCCTTGGGCAACCCAAACTTTTCTGTGAGTTCTGACTTTTCAATAAGGTGCTTCATCAAAGAACAAGTGAATGTGGTTTAATTTGGTACTGCTCTAAAACTTTTCACACAAATTCATGAAAGAGAAAACTTCCCTTCTCAAAACATGTGTTTCAGAGCTTCTGGCTTGGAGAAGGGGACTGTTAATCCCAGAGTTAGATGTGTGGAGGGGAGGAGCCGTGTTGTGTCCTAAACTGCTTTCCATCTGTGGAGTTCTTTTTCTCTTCCTCTAGAAATGACACACGCTGATACAATATTCTCAGGACAAACCTGAGGGGTTTGGTAACTAACATTGTCAGGCTATTGGAGAAAACTGTATGATTTACAGGGAATAAATGTGTCTAATTTTGGAATTCTGTCACTGTCCCAGCAAGTAAGATCTCTTGTATGAACAAGATGTTCAAAACAGTACATTCCCCATCCACAGAAGCTATATTCCCTGACTGCAAAGTACCAAATCATGTATATACACATATGTTTTCATCATATATTTTAAAATTACATTACAATAACAGTAAATGTAAGTGAATGTTTTCTTCCTCTCTCTCTCTCTCTCTCTCTCTCTCTCTCTCTCTCTCTCTCTCTCTCTCTCTCTCTCTCTTCATCTTTCCACTTACAAGAAGCACCATACAGATCTTTTTTTGGTACCCATGAGCTTCCATCACCATCACTCTTGGGTTTGGGGCCTACGATTAAGTAAATCGAGGATTACCTGGACACAGTCACTGCAGTACTTTGACAGTTAATCTAGTAACAAGAGGCCTATGATGTCACTAACAGGTGGGCAGTATACCACGGAAAGGTTAGACAAAGAGATGATACACATCCTGAACCAGAAGACATGGGACAGCATCACACTCCTCAGAATTTAAATATGAACCATCATTTCTGGAATTTTCCATCTCTTATTTTTTTAGCCTCTAACATGTGACTACACAAAGTGAAACTGTGTATGAGAGAGAGGTACTGTGAATGCCTCTGAGATAAATAAGTCCGACAGATGACTCTTCCTTTCATTTTGTTTAGGTTAGGCTGTATTTGTGGGCCACACTGAGGATTGAAATCTAACATGGTCTCAGAGCTAATATCAAACTGATTTTCCCAGGATAGGCATCAGTTAGGATTTGCCTTCTTTTGGTGTCTTCAAAGACGGAACTTTCCTGAGGGCTAAAACTTCCCTTTTTTTGAGCAGGTGGCAGACCAACACTCACACATCAGCCCCCAGGGCCTGTGTCCAGGCACAGCCCGTGCAGGGTGGGGAGGGGTCTCTCACTGGACTTCCTGTACTTTGTGCTGTATTGCTTGGAATTGGGCACTGGCAAAGCACCACCCAGAGATTTCCTTTTGAGTGAGTAGATTAATGAACATTACCTAGACAAGGCTTTACTCAAAAGCCTGGGTAATGAAAGCCAGTGTTTGCCAAGCCATAAGGACCTATTACTCTCCAAGATATTAATAGCAACATTCTCACTTTACATCCTACACTGGTCCCACTGAAGTAACCAAGCCTCTTTTCTTGTTAAAACTTTAAAAGACTTATCAAGAAGGAAAAAAAGAAAGGAAGGAAGGAAGGAAGGAAGGAAGGAAGGAAGGAAGGAAGGACGAAGGAAAAAAAGAAAGATAATAGCCGGGCGGTGGTGGCGCATGCCTTTAATCCCAGCACTCTGGGAGGCAGAGGCAGGTGGATCTCTGTGAGTTCGAGGCCAGCCTGGGCTACCAAGTGAGTCCCAGGAAAGGCGCAAAGCTACACAGAGAAACCCTGTCTCGAAAAACCAAAAAAAAAAAAAAAAGAAAGAAAGGTAATAATAATGACTATATAATAATAATAGTGTCAACGTTCTTTATCCAATTTTAAAGTTTACTTTTATTGCCTCTTTAATAAAAACTAAGGTTGGAAGTGGCTCAAAACAACATCACATCAAATGATCTATTTTATGTACGAGATGTATTTTTTTAAGTTTCAATCTGTTTGCATATATTAATGACCTAAGACTGTTACTATAAAACATGCCCATGGGCTGCCATTACCCGGCCTCTCCCTGGAAAAGCCTGTATTACTTGGATCATTTCAATGCACCATCATGCTTGAATCTATTTTTGAAATTAGTCTGAGGTCCACATTTTAAAAATTACAAATGATTTTTTTAGTTATCCCTTTCCTGCTAGTTTTTATGTGGTTTTCTTTACTTTATTCACATATGTTGGATATTATAAAGAATTACACAATAGCACTGATTTCACTTTCATATCTGTGGCTTGTTTTTCAAAGTGAAAATTGTCAGATGAGGGTGTGGAGACAGTTCCACACTGCATGCTCAGCTGATCCTCTGAAATGAATCTGTAATGCAATGGCTGGATTATCTGTGGATACATGGGACAGTCCTGTTAACAGCAGCTAGCTCCTGCCTCCATGCTGGGGTTGGGTTCAGCTAACTGGGGGTGTGGCCAGTTACAGAGAGAAGAGACCCACTCCACTCTGCCTGCATCTCATTTCCCTGCACAGGCTCCAGGGCTTTCTGAATCCCTTCTCACACCCTTTGACCCACCCACACCTCTAGAATGGGCCTTGTGTTTCCTGCTGGGATTAACTGCTATACCTGCAATTTATAATTATTTCAGTCAGTTTAATGACACCTAAAATTATTTTATTTCATATTCCTTACATTGTTCCTTTGTGGTTGATATATTGTGTACCCCAATAAACTTATCTTGGGGTCAGAGAACAGAACAGTCAGTATTTTAAGCATAGAGGTTAGGCAGTGGTAGCACACGCCTTTAATCCTAGCATTCCGGACGCAGAGATCCATCTGGATCTCTGTGAGTTCAAGGCCACACTGGAAACAGCCGGGCATGGTGACACACGCCTTTAATCCCAGCACTTGAGATCTCACGTCCTACTTGGGAAAGACACATGCTTTAATCCCAGGAAGTGATGGCAGGAAGCAGAACGCTATATAAGGAGTAAGGACCAGGAACTAGAGGCTTTTTAGCTTTTAGGCTTTTGAACAGTGTCAGTTCAAAAAAATTTCAGCTGAGATCCATTTGGGGGAGGACTCAGAAGCTTTCAGTCTGAAGATTCATGGAATCCGATGAGGAGTTGGTGAGGTGAGGTTAGCTGTGGCTTGTTCTGCTTCTCTGATCTTTCAGCATTCACCACAATACTTGGCTCCCAGGTTTTTTTTATTAATAAGACCTTTTAAAATTTGTGTTACAGTTCCTTGGTTCACTTTCTATCTCTGTGATAAAGATCATGACCAAAGGCAACTTGGGGAGGAAAGGGTTTATATCATCTTGGAGGTCACAGTCTATTATGAAGGGAAGTCAGAACTCAAGGCAGGAATCAGGAGGTGTGAGCTGATGCAGAGGCCATGGAGGAGTGCTGCTTACTGGCTTTCTCTCCATGGCTTGCTCAGTCTGCTTTCTTATAGAACCCAGGACCACCTGCCCACAGGTGGCATCAACCACAGTGAGCTGGGCCCTTCTACCTCAATCATTAATCAAGAGAATGCCCGACAGACATGCCTACAGGCTGAACTACAGGCATTTACTTAAGATTCCCTAGACGTATAGATATTTCAAGTTTTGTGTCAACTAGCACACATTGTTTACAGGACAATATTTTTTCACGTAACCATCCCAGTCACGTGTTCTGTTATGAGTGAGCAATT